CTGTATCTTTGCTTCCCATGTATAGTTGCTCTCCTCATATTCACGTGTCTGTCTACTCTCTTTTGTCATTTTGTTTCCTGTAACAATGCCTCGGCTAACTTAACGTCTTCTTGATGCCCTTTTAGTGAAACAACTTACTTCATCAAGAAGACGAAAATTTAGCATGAAATAACTTATCTTATGTAATTTCCATATACTTTTAGCAAGTTCCTGCCAAATCTAATCAATGTTAGACTTGATTTATCAAGACTGTTTATGCAACTAAGGATATCCTCACAATTGTTTAACTTACATTTCAGGTCTCAGTTGGCCCTCCATTAGCTTCAATTTTTGTTACCAGCATTGCATCACAATTTGCCGATAGCTTGATTTCCAAAGGTGTTGATACATCACTGGTACTTGGACTTCTCTTTATTTCCTCTATTCCGGAATGTTATTTTTCTGGTCTAACCTTAGTTTTTCATGTCTCTTTATATCGTTCATAATATAAAACATGAGGATTAGAGAACATGTTTGGATCATACCTTCTATATAATAACCCTTCAAACAAGAGTAGATAATGCTCAACATGCTTGAAACACGTGAGATCTTTTTGATTGTACTAGAACAAATTGTGTTCCTTGTAATTGGAAGTCACACTCTTTATGTTGATCGGATGCTCCACGCTTCCCAGACCCACTTTTGGGATTGCACTGGGTATGTTGTTGTAGTTATTCTAAATTTTTGTTTCAAGGAAGCTGCATGCCTAAGGATGAAAACAACAATTTTTTCTTAGTGCTAGTAGTAATGATAACTTTCATGAGGACTCTTCAAAAGTCAAATGGCTTTCATTTGTAATATTCGAGATGCTCAAATCACTTATCTACCTTACGGTAGTTGCTGGCCAAAATTTATAACCTGGTACTCAAATGGTATAACAATATTTTAGATGGAGGGTTTATTAGATGGGAGCCTTGGAGCAACGGTAAAGTTGTTTTGTGTGACCTATAGGTCACGGGTTTGAGCTGTGGAATCAGCCACTGATACTTGCATCAGGGTAGGCTGCCTACATTACATCCCCTTGGTGTGTGGCCTTTCCCCTGACCCTGCGTGGACACGGGATACTTCATGCATCGAGCTGTCCTTTTTATGGAGGGCATATCAACTGAATTCGTTAAATTGATCTCCTTTCATAGTTTAGTTCTTTTTATCACCTTTCACTTGCTATTGTTTCTTATAACTTGGAATGATCTAGTATCACAATGAAGATTGAAATAACTTGACAAGAAGGATACTCTTTGTTACTCATCTGAACTAACAGGTGAGGAAAATTTGTCAAACAATAGCCTTTTTATCGCCGGCTACCTGTATGATTCTTTCTTCGTTGGACTTTGGTTTGCCTCCGTGGGAAGTAGTAACAATCCTCACCGGTGGTTTAGCCCTTTCAAGTTTTGCTTTGTCAGGTATTCTTGTTAAATTGCTTTCGGTCTCAATAGTTTTGAACTAATTATTAAAGATGCACTTCTTCCCCATCTGCTGCTATCAAATAATCTTGTCATTTTTTTTCCATTTTTGCAGGCCTATATTGCACCCATCAAGACATCTCACCTGAATATGCAAGCATTCTTCTGGTATGTATGATAGAAGGCCTGCATTTGTTTTATACATCGGTATTCATGTTTCTCGATGCAACACAATTAAAAAGACAAAACATGAAAAATTCTATGCCGCTAAGTGCTAAGTATCTATCTCTTAATATTCTCTGTGTAGAAACTTGGAGTTTGTTAGTAAGGTGTTGCTTAGCTAGTTTCCATGAGACGTAGACTGATAATCCGAGTGATGACTATTATTCTGATGTTTTTCGTTCAAATTCAAGTCTAGATTATATTGGTTCCCGCTTTGAGAAACTGTACATGCAGGGCATTACCAACACTGTTGGTGCAGTTCCTGGAATTGTAGGCGTCCCTCTAACTGGTTATCTTCTTGATTCAACTCACTCATGGAGTGTAAGCTTCTCACATTCCTCCATAATACCCTTATACGCCTCGTGCACCTGAAGATCAGTTCATAACTAACTCTTACAACTTGTTTTTGTGCAGATTTCTTTGTTTGCACCATCGATTTTCTTCTACCTCACTGGAACCATCGTGTGGCTGGCATTCGCAAGCAGTAAGCCACAGAGCTTCTCAGAGGGAGATTGACCAACCTTATTATTCAGCGTCGAGTCAATCAGCTAGCATACCTATATACTAACAGTTTTCAACACAACATTTTGTGTTCTAACCCAAAGTTTTTATTTTATTTTTATGTATAATAATCAGGACTGATAGGACTTATGCAACTTTAGTGAAGAGTTCCTTACATTATGTAATGTATTTTTTGTTTGATAAGTTATATAATGTAACTTTTTCAGATTGCAGTTATGATATACTCAGCAGATGTATATTGAAGATCATTAATACTTGTGGTTTCATCCATATATACATCAGTAGCTTTTCAGAGCACTTTTTAGCATTTTGTAAAAAAATTCATCTTGTGTTTGATACCTGTATTGATGCTATTACATATATTCATATATTATTATGATATTAAAATGTTATAATTGAGGAACAATCACTATTTCACCAAGTCAATTATCAATCCTTAATGAGAGATTTTTAAAAGGGAAAATTACGCGAGTTGACAAACATTACTAGTTTATTATTCAATATGGTTATAGTTCCAATTATTTACTGCATGTGGTTATAGTCTAATATTATTTTCTATTAATTATGGGACTCGCGAACGAATTGTATACGGAAAGAAAAAAGAGTCCTTCCCTTATTTGTATACTCATTTATACAAATCTAATTTTATCTCTTCATCTCTCTAATTATCTCCTAAAACCACTCATACACATCGATTTTGAATTTGAAATCTATTTTCTACCTCCTAATAGTGACATCACAATTCAAGGTAATCGTCCAAAACATGTTTCAACTCTTTTTTGTTTTTTGTTTTTTTTGTTTGTATATGATTTACGCTTGTATTTTTTTTTTCTCAAAAACATATCCGCAGTCTTCAAATTTTCAGATTTTTCAAAAAAAAAAAGGATGAAGGAATTCGGATTACTAGAGGTATACCATTGTGTGTCAAATTTGTTGATGATCCACCATCGTTTTCGTTGTGTCTAACTCAAGCATTCTAATTGCAAGATATGTAGCTAAATTCAAAGTGAATGAAGAAATTAGATCCATTGAAGAGTTTAGATCCAAGCACCAAATGACTCAATTAAGATGCAACAAATTTTGAAATTTTTTCAAGCGAAACATATAAGCAAAAAAGTTGAGGAACAAAAGTTTGATGGTTCAACAGGGATGAGGAGTTCAATTTTTATTTTTATTTTGTTAATAAAGTGTTTTAAGTATTGTTTCGTGAGTATTTGTATCAATAATTTTTACATGGTATTATATACGTTTTTTTTTAGATTTGTATTTGTATCAATGTTATTGTAGATTTAGTATTTATATCCATGATATATGTATTTATCGTTTTTATTGTATATTTTTAGGTATAATATACAATTGCTTATTTGTATATATGTATCAATTGCATATATACAAAGTTGTCAATTATGTTTATACAAATAATTGTCTAGCATTTTCCATTTGTATATCTTATATGATTGAATTTGTATATCTTATACGATTGAATTGTGAATGATATTTATACATTTTAATTTGTATATCAAATGATATATGTATTTGTCGTTATTAAAAATAATATATAATCACTTATATGTATATATGTATATATACCAATAGTTCTCTGACATTTATCATTCAAATATCTTATATGATTGTATATGTTCATGATAATTGTATATATTTTTTGATTTGTTTACTTCAAAGTTCATGATTTGAATTATTTTTTTTCATATGAGTAATTAGAAAGGAAGAACTAAATTAAGTTATTAGTTTTAAATCGAAAAATATTTATTATTGTATTATGGATGAAGAAATCAAACCAAATTTTGATTGTCAAAACCCAACAAATGAAAATCGGGGTTTTAAGGGAGAATTTTATAGCTTGAAGAGTCCATTTTGGTATGAAATTGTAAGGAAATACACTTGCCATAAATATATCATGTGATATTTATTTTTTTTGAAAACTGATTTTGTCACATCAATTAAGGATTAATTGATAATTATATTTTGTTATCGTATATACCGCCAATGCAGTCATTATTTTAAAAAGTAAAATTTTGTATAAATTTAAAATAAAAAAACGATATATACAAAAGGCTCCATAGCAAACTAAACTATAGTCATAAAGTGTAATTAGATTCTAGATAGCCAGTAAATAAAGTCATGTTTTTTTGATTTCATATAGAACGATGAAGTACAACAGTGGATTTAGGGCCAAAGTTAGGATCGCTAGGGAAAAAAATCACTTGACTGTAATTGCGTAAGTGGTTTTTTTTCAAAAAGAAGAGAATTAGGCTCGCGTCTAATTCTAAGACGCGGGCATGATTCTCTTCTTTTTGAAGAAGAAAAAAAAACACTTGCGCAATCAGTCAATCAACAATATGAAAAAAAAAATTACTGAAAAAATATATTATAAAAAAAATACTGAAAAAATACTTGAAAAATATGATGAAAAAAAAGTCAAAAAATTGTCATCAAGAAAAGAGAAACATTTCCATGATAACTTAAGTTTGACGGGAAATATTTAAATATATTGTACAATAATTGCTTTTCTTCTACTTTAAGATCTACTTTGAGAATAATTTATAACATTTACTTTTTTTTTTAAAAGAAAAAATTTAGTATCTGTAAGGAAGATAACATATTTTTCTTATTTTTTTCTTTTTAGTTACCTTGGAGTATTAACAATGATTTATTTTTTCTAAAAGAAAAATTAATGCAATGAATTACATTACAATGTACTTATTCTATTTTTTTTATTTTTTTTGGTATAAGATTTACTGTTTAGAAGAAAATGAAGTAGAATAGATATGCAAGTAATACATGGTCTGTATATAGCAAGAATAAAATGCTTATATTTTCTCTTAGAGAAAAATATAATACATGTATCCTCTTTACATTTTCTGTGTGTAAATTATTGGTTCAATAATCAAATGGAACCCCTTTTGGCTCCATACATCACTTAATACATAACACAAACTCAGCTACAAGCAGGCAAAAGTACATATGGTATGTGTACAAATACAATAGAGAATGGCGCGACGGTTATCGCCTCTGTTGAATTGACATATATAGGCTCAAATGTAGGTATATTTCCAGATGAATCTACAATCAGTGCATTTCCATTTAGCAGCATTGTCTGGCTTTGTAAATTTCCATCTTTTGCTGTTAAATGGTACTCTTCTCTTGTGTTTGATGCTATTTTGCTACTTCTAGGCAGTTTGATTGAACTCTTTCTGTGGTTATGATGATGTCTGTGTTTTCGTCGATGTAACATAGTACCGTTAAAATCAACTCTGGCATGAATGGTGGTGTTGCCATCAAGGTTGATCAACAGTAATGTGATACCTTGCTGCAAATGGAAGTTGTTCTTTTCAGGTAAAATGTACAATATATATAGCTAGTATGACACTATGCAAATAAAGAATACATTTGTTTAGACTTACAGATTGCTTTGCACAATGAGCGTATGCACGTATTTTCTTTGTCCCTGAGAAACTCGTTGCCAAAACGTTCCTTCCCATCAATCGGTGCCAAAGAAGAGCACTGCAGTAAGGAACGTTGTATTCATTAAACGATAACTAAAGATGGTAAGAGATACTCTTATCTGCTAATGCCATGTAACAATAAGAGTTACTCCATCTGTTCCATTTTATACGACGTTTTCCCCTTTCTAGTGAGGGGTAGATTATTGTTTTCTTTTTCAAAACATTAGATTTGTATGGAGAAAGTAGTATGAGGTAAGAGGTTTTTCGATTTTCTCTTATCTATCGGGAGTTCCAAGACGAAGACACCTTTCTTTAGTTGGAATGCTGTAACTTTAAACTTTCTATTTTACCTATAATGACATGCTCTTATAACCATATAAAATGTCATTGCGCGTTTAAGAAGACAAATCTAAGGGTAGTTTGGGTACGTGTCAAAAGTCTTTTTTCTTTTCTTTTTTTAACTTTGTGTCTAGTCAAACGCTGACATATAAAATGAAACATGAGGAGTACTGATTTACCTGTAGTAATCTGGATTTGGTACAAAGGTAGTCGTATTGAGTAAACCGTAGTTTCCACCAATCAATGTCTGTCGACAGTATGTCTTGGTATCATAGGCAGCTGACATACCAAGCTGGTCCAAATACCTATAATTGTTTCCAAATTCCAAATACATCACTACTCAGGATAAAGTATATACAACCATACAACCAATAGAGTGGAACATTATAGTTGAGTTTTATTACCAGAAGCTAAAAGCAAAGGCATTTGTGACATGGTTGCGGCCACTGTTATAAGCCCCTCCAGCCTCACCAACCCACGCAACCACTGAACTACCAGATGCCTTGAGGATATTCTGAAGTTTATTAAATGTATCAGCTTCACCGTCGAGATAAGATGGATCGAGGATTTTTTCAAGAAGGTGTTCATCTCTTCCTAAGAAACAAGAGCAAGATCCCATATAACGTTGTTGATATGATGTTAAAATTACAGAACCAGATCATATTCAGGTTTTGCTATAACATACCTGGACCAAGATTATATATGTGGTGAGTTGCCACATCAAATGATGCCCCGGCTTTATTTACTACTTCCTTGAACCAGCCTTCATCAAAGAAACCTCCCGGTGCCAGGACCAACGGTTTGGTTTCAGAATTCTCGTAAGCATCTTGCACTGTTTTGTACAAGGCAATAGTATCAGATGCATATTGATCTGCTGCAACTCTGGTTCCAACTCCGCTACCACTCAATTCGTTCCCTAGAAAGAAAATCGACAACATATGTTGAACAGTTCTGCTTAAGCTTTAACAATATGTTATACTCCCTCTGTCTAAATTTATGTTAAGATGTTTGACGGGCAAGGAGCATAAAAAAGGAAGACTTTTGAAACTTGTGGTCTATTGGGACTAACTAAAAAAGAAAGAGTGTCACATAAATTGGGATAGAGGGAATAGCATGGTTTTATAGACATGTTTTTGCATGAAACTCATACTATAGTCCTTACCGAGTTCCCAACCATGGATATCATATCCCTTTTTGACAGTATAACGTATAAGCGATTCAGCATTGCTTGGATCCCAAGCTCCGACAGATAAACCGTCAGGGTGTACCGATCTTCCATAAAGAGCATTTAATCCAAAAATTATACTAGCCCTGAATGAAACACAAGTTGTTGATCAACTTTTTTCAGTCTTGTAAAGAAAATGACAGAAGTCCAAACAAAAGGAAATAAAAGACGCGATTTTTACCCAGATTTATTAAAGAATGCATTGAGTTCATCCCATCTCGACAAGGGAAGGCACCCTGGAGTAAAACCAAACATCTCTGTTGTGTTTCTAACAAATGAGACACAGGGCTGTTTATGATCTTCAGTTTGGTATATGACTTTGTCTTGCAAAGTTCCGCCCAAACGAATCTTTAATGGTGAGAACGCTGCAACATATTATAACAAAGAACACTAAGGGCCTCTAGTTTGTTACAGAAACATACAAATATGTGAAAGCTCTTAAGTTATAGGAGCTAAGCTATATCACCATACCTTTTATTGCATTGAGAAAAATAATGTTGTTAAGATCCTGCACATAGACGAGATGATTAGATGGAAACTACTTAGTAAGGCATCACAACAACAACATACCCAGTACAACCCCACAATTGGAGTCTGTGAAGGGTAGAGTGTACACAGACCTTACTCCTACCTCATGGAAATATAGAGGTTGTTACTAAAAGACCCTAGGCTCAAGTAACACATAACAAGACCTTTCTTGTATGATAGCTTTTCAAGATTTAAGGCAATTGATAGATACTTTACCAACAACATACCCAGTGTAATCCCACAAGTGGGGTCTACGGAGGGTAGATAGAGAGGTTGTTTCTGATAGACCCTCAGCTTAAACTAAAGCATTTCCAAGTAGTTTAAAAAAGGGAATCCAAAAATTAGAGCAGTAACAACAACGGAATAATGTGAAATGGAGAGTAGTACAAGTTGTCAAGTTATGTTCACTGTGAATCAAGAGAACTACTTTGAGTAATGTCAAATGCAAAAACCAAATTAACCACCTTTTTGTTTCTATGTTTAATTTGACATCTTGTTGCCTACAGTGAATCAAGTCATTCTTGTTTTCTTTTTCCTTTCTATTTTGGCTCTTTCTAGGAGTTGGTTCTTTTTTTTTTAATAAATGAAATCATACCAAACAAACAACAAGAGTAGAAAAGTAGAAAGCAGAACAAACTAACTCCAACAACAAACTGCAGTTATACTCTATCTAGTACAAATTCAAGAAGAAATGCAAAGGTGAAATTCATATTCATATATTCATGGGTGGCAAAGCAGGGGCAGAGCAACAAGCCTGTCTACGTTCGGGTAGAGCCTAGTAACAAACTCTGTGTTTGTGTGTTTGAAAATTCACTTAATATGTATTAAAAAATTATCTAGAACACAGTAAGCTGTCTTTTCAAGATTCCAGAACCCATAACCTAAAAACTTAGCTCTGCCTCTACCAAAGATATCGATATTAAACAATCCCATGTATTTAAAACAGAGGATTAACAACTACAACTATAGCATCATAATTGCATTTATACACAATAAAACTGAAGGGGCGGAGCTATAAGTCTGTCTACCGGTTTGGCAGAACCCAATAACATTGGTCTAGACTCTATACTTGAGTACGAAAAATTTATCCAGAACATAGTAAGCTGTCTTTTCTAGATTTCAAAACCCATAAACTCGAAATCTTAGCTCCGCCTCTAGCAAAGATATCAACATTTAACAATCCATGTACTTAAAACAGAGGATTAACAACTAACACTATAGTATTATAAATTAACAGAACTTACACAATAAGACCATTTCTACCTAATAAATCTGAAAAAAAGAAAAACTAGCATAAAAGGAAAATACATTCAAGAAAACTATACCATAAGAGCATTTCTACACAATCCAACAACAACAACATACTCAGTGTAATCTCACATGTGGGGTGTGGGAAGGGTAGGATGTAGCTTGTTTCCGATAGACCCTCGGCTCAAAAAAGTGTAAACAAAACTAGCAGAAAAGGGAAACTACATTCAACAAAACTACACCACAAGTCCATTTCTACACAATAAACTCAAAAAAACAAAAGGCAAATACATTCAAACAAACTAACACTATAAGTTCATTTCTACACAATAAAACTCAAAAAAAAAAACTAACAGAAAAGGCAAATACATTCAAGAAAACTAACACCCTAAGTTCATTTCTACACAATAAAACTCAAACAAGCTAGCAGAAAAGGCAAATGCATACAAGAAAACTACACCATAAGTTCATTTCTACACAATAAAACTGCAAAAAAAAAAAAAAAAAGGCAAATGCATACAAGAAAACTACACCATAAGTTCATTTCTACACAATAAAACTCAAACAAGCTAGCAGAAAAGGCAAATGCATACAAGAAAACTACACCATAAGTTCATTTCTACACAATAAAACTCAAACAAGCTAGCAGAAAAGGCAAATGCATACAAGAAAACTACACCATAAGTTCATTTCTACACAATAAAACTCAAACAAGCTAGCAGAAAAGGCAAATGCATACAAGAAAACTACACCATAAGTTCATTTCTACACAATAAAACTCAAACAAGCTAGCAGAAAAGGCAAATGCATACAAGAAAACTACACCATAAGTTCATTTCTACACAATAAAACTCAAACAAGCTAGCAGAAAAGGCAAATGCATACAAGAAAACTACACCATAAGTTCATTTCTACACAATAAAACTCAAACAAGCTAGCAGAAAAGGCAAATGCATACAAGAAAACTACACCATAAGTTCATTTCTACACAATAAAACTCAAACAAGCTAGCAGAAAAGGCAAATGCATACAAGAAAACTACACCATAAGTTCATTTCTACACAATAAAACTCAAACAAGCTAGCAGAAAAGGCAAATGCATACAAGAAAACTACACCATAAGTTCATTTCTACACAATAAAACTCAAACAAGCTAGCAGAAAAGGCAAATGCATACAAGAAAACTACACCATAAGTTCATTTCTACACAATAAAACTCAAACAAGCTAGCAGAAAAGGCAAATGCATACAAGAAAACTACACCATAAGTTCATTTCTACACAATAAAACTGCAAAAAAAAAAAAAAAAACAGCTAGCTGAAAAGTGAACATGCATTCAAGAAAACTATTTTACCAGATTCAAGAAAGAAGAATGGTCCCAAGCACAAGTTCCATAATCACACTTCTCAGGTGGCCACCAATCCAAAGTAGCACAAATAAAATGCTTATCTATTCTTCCAATAGCAATTTTCCCATCTATAAACACAGTACCTTGAGCTGTTGTTCCACAAATAAATCTCAAACTAAACAAAAAAAGCCACACCAACACTCCCTTTTGCAAAAATAAAGAATCCATATTTATCAAAATTGAAAAAAGATAAAAACTTTAGCTAAATAATATCAAGATCTATGTTTCTCTAACATAGCTAGCAGCTCAAAATTGCAAGAAAATATGAAATGGGTCGCTGTAGAACTCCCCATTGGAGACTTGTTCACGAGAGTTTATAAAGGTAAGAGTAAGGGTGACAGGACAAAAAAGTAGGCTTTATTCATAATCAGCCATTATGGTTCAAGATTGGATCAAGAAATAATTTTTTAATGTAAAGTTTGAAAAAAGAAATTTAAAGATTTGGTGTGTAACGTTGTATTTAGGAACAACATACCCATAAGCAACTCCATTGTAATCGCATTAGTGAAGTCTTAAGAGTATAATATATACGGAAATTTTATTTCAACCTTATGAATTGAAAATAGTGGCGGAATAAGGTATGATCGAGCTTATTCATCTAAAATTCAATTATATATGGTTAAAATATTTTATGTATATATACTAGATATCGAACATCATTTAGTTTCTTCATGTGTTTACTTCTTTATATATTAAATTCTTTTGAATTTTTTTTATCTCGGCCATTGATTAGAGAGGTGTTTCTGATATACATTCAGTAAGGATAGTAAAGGGGCGTTTGGCCTTGAAAATAGTGAGTATTTGAAAAAGTAATTTTTGTTGTCAAAGTGAAAATTGATATGTGAAGATTGGAGGTTCCTCACGATAATTTTATAAGTAGTTCAAAATATATATATATATATTAACAATATAATATTTTTGTGTGTAATGTTGTAGTATTTAGGAAACATAAAAGAAATCATTGTATAAATATGGATAAGAGAATAATGTAAACATCAAGTTGTCAATGGGCCATTTTTTTTTGGGATTCTTTGCTTAATGAAAATGAAAAAAAAAAAAGATTGCTCAACTACAAAGGAAAAAGATAAGTAATGTCTTGTGGGACCATTGCTCTCAAACCAATGTGTCTATTAGGTGAAAATAATATAGTTGTATTAAAAAATAAGTAATGTAATTTCTTGTTATGGAGCAAGTGTACTTTAAAACTTTTGTGAGATAGGTTTCCTTTTTATGATAAAAGAAAAAACTAGTGGGGGAGGTGGTGGGCGAGCTTGTTCACATTATTGATCTCAAACTCAAAATAAGTTGGACTTACGATAGGTTGATAGTCCACGTAAAACAAGTTAATATTTTTATAAAGATATAACTCTTTAGTAGTTTCTTGACTATGTAAAATTATGTTTATTTACATAAGGCTAAAATTGAAAGAATATTATTAATTCTTAATTACTTGAAACAACACTTATTTTTAAAATGAAGTGAGTATAAATATATAGTCAATTTCAATCGGTTTAGGATTAAAGCGTAACACGTAATAATTGTTGTTATTGTTATTGTTATTGTATGAAAGGTGGAAGGGTTGTGTAGCATTTTTTTTAATTAAATAAGGATGATTAAGAAAGTGGTAAGGTATTGATTCTATAGAATTAGAAGGTAATAAAGGTTACATTCTAATTATGTGTTTTTTTTAAATACTCTGATTAATTTTATATGTATTTAAATATTTTACTAAGTACTTGTTATTATTTATGTATCAATATGAATATCGAATAACTCAATTCAAAGTGATAAATGAGTTATGAATGAATTTGTTCAACCTTTTTCTAGGCACACATCATGAGATGTTTGAGAAATTGGTATGATGACTAGATTTAGGGTTGGGCATATGTGATGTTTGAAAATTGTATGACTATGATTAGTAACTTGGTAGTACTTTGTGATAGATTCATGATGAAGACAACTATTAGACTATCACCAAAAAGTATGTGGTCTAAATATATTGAGGATTTATTATATTGAATTATATTAAAGAATCATCTTTGTGATCCCAACCTAGATCATTTCATTATAAATACATAGGCAGATTTAAAATTTAAAATTTATCAGATTATTATAATAATTTCATTTTTAAGCAAAGATAATAACAATTATTGAACTCACAATTTTGTAAAATTTAATTAAAAGTTACTAGATTTGATTGAACATGTAGATTATGTTTTAGATGTGTTATTGTCTATACAATGTGAATCTGAATTAACTAGATCAACGATGAGCAATACAAATATCAAATGATTAAAGAACAATATGAATATTACTCAAACTTCTTTTGCCGAAAAATCACACACTATATATATATAAGAAAATTATATATTTTCTAATGTAATATATATTAGATGTTGAATTCTCTGATAAAAATTCTTCATGCATATAACAAAAATAACTTTTAGCGGCAATAGGTATATACATTAACAAAAAATGTTAAAGTCTTTACCGATATTAGTTAATTGGTATGGAATCTAATGTTACTATAGACTTTAGGGATATTTACAATAGTGTCAATTGACTCTAAATATACATATTTAATGATAATTAAACTATATTATCATTGATTAATTATCGTTAAATATCATTTTTGGTGTAATAACAACGCAAGCAAGATCCAAATTCTACTAGGGAAGAAGGGAAATGGTGGAGGGTTTTGGTGAACATTTGATTTTGAACTGAATAAAGCCTGGCTAGACCAAAGAGAAAAAGATCTTATATTATAAAAATCTTGCAAATGCAGGAATTATGTGATTATTTAGTAAAAGAAAAAAAAGTTGGTGATATTTTTCTGGTGAGGGGCAAAAAGGTCATTTTCAGACAGGTAATAGGTATAACAAACTACCTATCTTAAAGTTAATGGGACATTTATTTATCCATTTTAATGACTTATAATTAATATTTTATTTGTTTCAATTTCTTTGTCAGATATTATTATTTATCTTGAATTTTTAAAGCAATATTAGTTTTGAGAGACATAAATACATAAATGTTGTTTGTAGTTTGAATTTAGTTGATATTTATGCCCTTTAGTTTTGAGCATGCACAAGTAAACATATAAACTTATATAGAGTTAAACAAGTAGAGACACATGTTACTATATTAAAAATGATTTTTAGTGGCAACTAATTAATGATATTAGCTTAATTGCTGCTAAATATGTATTTTTAGTGGCAATTAGTACTCTTTATAAATGTCCCTATCTAAAGCCTATAGTGACATTGAATCTGATGACAATGTAATAGATTGTCGGTAAAGGTTTTAGCACACTTTGTTAATGTGCATATTTGTTGCCGTTAAAATCTGTTTTTGTTGTAGTGCGTCCTACTTGACTTTTACGAGGCAATTCACATCTACTACATGGCCTTCTATGTATATTATGCCACATAAGATGTGTTTGTCTATTTATTCAACTTTATACAAATCCAATTGTCCACTTGTGCATATCCAAAGTTGAAAACATAAATATCAGCAAACGCTAAGGTAAAAGACATATTTTGAGATAATTTTTTTTGTTTTTGTTAAAACCACTCCTTTTGAAACGAAGATAGTAATAAAAGTAGTGAGCCATGTTATCAAATTGCATCTTAAAACTTTTTCTTCTTAATTAACTCTATGCATTTATGATACCTTTACCTAACAAGATTATTTTTTGAAAAAATTCAAGGAATAGTAGCTGGGAAATTAACCTAATTATATTTTCTTGAAATTTTGTGAACTTCTGATCCTATTTAATTGTTGTTTCTCACTGATTCCCATGTTTGGTTATTTTTATTACTAGTACTTAATTGGAAAGTCAAATTTCTTTCTTTGCACCAATAAGGATCGTAGTGGAGTGGTAAGTACTATTTCATCCTTGATCAAGAGGTATCGAATTCGAGGCCCCCTTGGATATGGGGAGTCGCCTTTGTTAGGGAGCGCTTTACTCCCCAATGTAGGACTTTCCAATGCGAATCCGGATTTAGTCGGGCTCCAATGTGGGTACCGAACATCGAGTGGGAAACCAAAAAACAAAATCTTTCTTCACATTGGATTAGTTTCAAATTTTACTAATTTACATGTGATAACATTTTCTTCCTAGTCTATCCCAATACGATTGATATACATATACATAATACATAAACATATGTAACGACCGAGTTCCGTCGTTATAGAAATGCCAACGGGAGAAAATTCGGGACCGAAAAACTTTTTCATAGTATTTGGATTTTCCCAACCTAGTCCAGATTTGGACGAAATCGAAGTCTTTAAGGTGTAGGAAAATCTCGTAGAAATAGGGTCATTTATTTATAATTCTGGTTACATGAGTGGTTAGATAACTCGTTAAGTAATCCGTATGACTTTACGGAATTGAATTCGGGTGAGTAGAACTCCCGAAATCGATCTTAGCGTGAAGGGTATTTTCTGAGCGTCGTGGGTTAGAGGTGTGTTGTGAATGGGAATTTTGGAATTATTAAAATAGCTCACTGTTTCATGCAAGCCGCTTTGGCGCTGGATTTTGTCGCTCTGGTGGGGCCGCTGTAGCGGGGTGAGGGCCGCTGTGGCGGGCCAGACGGGACTTAAAGTCGTAAATAAACCCCTAAACGACTTTATTCTGCACTTTTCAATTTTTAGAGCTAAGGAACGAACCTCAAATGACTCCTAACAGTTTTTCTCTATTCTTGAGGCTAAATGTAAGCTTTTCACTCCCCGAATTCGTTTTTTGATCCGTAGAACGTAATAAAATGGGTAATTATCGATGGGGGAGGGTTTTGATCTAGATTCTATGGTGGAAACAACCCTATTTCGGGTAACTAGAATCATGGGTTTGATCTAGAGTTCATAAAATTGTTGGTAATTTGGATAATTAGCGATTGTTTATTGATTCTCGTATTATATTGATTGTTTGTAGACCAAGAACAAGCGGAATGAATCCGGAAAGGGAAGGATCAAGTTTCTTAGGGTTTCAAGCTTGTTTCGAGGTAGGTGATGATTGTGATTCTATGATTGTGTGATGTATGTTTGTTCTTGCTTCATTATGATACATGTATGTATATGAATGTTGCATTATTAATCACACTTGTTGTAAATGAGATAGATGAATGATGATTGCCATGAAATCATGACTTAATGTATGATCTTGAGAATATACTTGTGATTGTGATTGTGATTTGTTGAATGGATCGGTTACCACATTTTGGCATAACTAACTTGGATCGGTTGCCACATTCCGACATAATTATGGGATCGGTTACCACGTTCCGGTATAATCATTGGATCGGGTACTACGTTCCGGTATGCTAACTGTTTGGGTTTGGGTTCCATGAGAGGACCAATGACTTGTCATAATTGTGTATCTTGAGAAAATGTGAAGTGGTTCATTGTTCGTATATGTTGATGATATTGCATAT